TATCACAAAATATTCACTAAGACGACAGAAAGGGTAGGCAAGTTTGTGACTTTTTTAGGTTGCTATAAAAATTGTAAAAATTTGCTTAAGAATATTTCAAGTTAACTAGTAGTTCTTGTACGAAATACACTAATAAAATGAAGTATTTATTCTCCATATTATATACCAATTTACTCGATTTTTGCCGACATTTTGACTGACCAACTAAAAGCTATAAGAGAACTCAGTTGATTAGGCACGCTAAACATGATCGGCTATCTCCTGTTATGATTTGCGTACCCCATGTCTTCCTGTCTTCAAAAAATAAAGGTCATGAAAATTAGAAAGAATATTCATTCCGCCGAAAAGCCATAAGATATATTCGTGAAAAAAAAACGGCGCAAGCCAATTGTTTTGTGCACCACTCAGAAAAGTGTAACGTACTAGCCTGCTCCACAGACACTGTGACAATTGCTGCATTTTAAAACCTACAAAGAAAAATATTTTAATTTTATGAAAAATTATTATCCGCCTCGGGGAATCGAATCCCGGCCTCTCGCGTCACAGGCGGGGATACCAACGGGGACTACGATTTGCTATGTACAAAATGGGTGTGCCAGATAGTTCACGTTTCGTTGTTAGTCACTAAATTTGCACCTTCTTTCCGCTAATGCGTATACACGTAATTAGAATGATTAGTTACCGATTAGCGATGACTGTTTTGGCAAGCCAAGGTGCGCCGAGACAGAAAAGGAGATCGAAGATGTTCGACCCGAGAAGACTGCACAGGGCCATATTGCCCTTTCCGCTTCTCGCTACCAGAACAGTCGCGAACAGCTTAAAAGAAGATTTCACCAGGTAGAACTACGTAAAGACAGGTAATGATATTGCGTACGCATGCAATTCTTCGAATGATTTCAGCAACAGAATAATTTAAAATAAAAAACAAAGAAGTTTAGGATACACACTTTCGAGTGTACACTTTAGAAGTGCACATGGAATTATTTGAAAAAGTATTGTTCGTGGCTGCACAGTGTTTTCAAGCAGAAGGAAGTTTACAACAAGATGAAAGATTGAAAACCGCCAGCTCCATCTAGTATCTTCAAATTGCTTTAAGCACTAAGCAATGTATCTAGCTGTGATTATTAAGAATAGATCTATATTTTGATTTTACTATATCTTATTGCCACTGACCAGGTTGTTTCTTTAAGTTAGGGAAAGAAGCTGCTAGAAAGTTCAAACTACCTCCGGCACGCTGGTGCCAGTAGCAAGGATGGTAAGCCCTGAAATCGTGTCTGGAACGCCAAGCGTGTATCCTCCGACGGTGACCATCCATACAGTGATGTAGGAACTCAGTCCAATCCATAGAACCGAAATCAAGAAGGTCAGAGGGTATAAACACCTGGCGAAACGACATCACGTCTTCAGAAGTTTAACTTACCGTTCACTGCAAAATGTACTCACAGTGGGATCCATAACTAGGCAATAAACACATCAGCAGTTTAGAATTGCCATTTGAATGTTTCGTGTCTGGTGCGTCTACCATTGTTACGCATTGCTTCAGACGGCCGGCTCTTTTCAGCACGAGACGACGTACGTCTACTCCTGGTTTTAAACCCAAATTACTTCACTAGAAATACTGTATAGTACATATGAATATGTAAGTATATATATATCCTTTTAGTAATTAGTAATAGGGTTCGGGACATTCTTTTTAGAATTTTTATTTAAAATAATTATTTTAAAACGTTTGTTAATTTAGAACTAATATTTACAGTTATAATTACTGTGTTAATTGTTAGAAGGCAAATACATGCCACATATTTTCAATTATACCGCAGCATCATAGGATCTACTACTAGTTCATCGCTTAGAAGGTTAAGAATCTTCAGGTAACCGGCCTGTTTCAACTAGGCGATTTTATTTTCTTAAGAGATCCACTGATTATTATCGAAATCGCCTTCGATGGCTAGCTAGACTATACGTACAACTTCTAAGTGCTCGTAGGATAGTTATGGAACAGATAGATTTAATAGATAATACAATCATTCTTTACGAATGGATCTCTTTATATTATTGTTTATATATATATATATTATAACTAACCGCCTTAAAATGAAGGAATACTAAATGTACATTAGTAAATAGAAGTTGCTTGCATCAATTTTTAACTGCCATACCTTAGGGAAAATCAATATGTGAAGAACATCTGAAAGTAATTCGCCGCCGTTCTAGAATCCAGTGAAAATGCTTGGAATCACATAACTTAAATAGAAAGATATTTCTAACAATAAGCTTTATTTGGACACCATGACGATTATATCGGTAGAAGGGCACGTTTCTTTGCAAAGTATTCGAAAAACCACGCAAGCGGAAGCGACCAATACGTCGTCAAATGTTTCAAAGCTTTCTTCGCTCTTTTGGGTACTGCCGGTCAGTTAGTATCGTACATTACGTAGGGAAAAATGGATTCGAATTATACCTAAAAGTCACATCTGGCTATTTTAAAAATTGGGTTATTTACAGTGCATGCTAAGCACCGCAACTGACCGTGTCAAAGCTAAGCATTTCAAAATATACAATCCGCCTCTTCGATCCTTTAGCCATTGCTAACGACTTCACATGGATGACGATTCGGGGTAACAGTTTTTGACAGCTACTTGTGTAGAAAATCAGTAAGCCTCCAAAGACAAAAAATATTTTGACTTCTTATATGCGTTAAGCACCGCTTTGGAGGGCCGGCGCCTACCAGCGACAAAATTGCGTGCATCTGCGTCGGCGTTCAAGCCCAGACCACTACGTATCACGCAGTCCCTAATTTTTTTTAAGCGAACACATAACCACTCCGTTGCCGTGAAGAGTACATTAAAACCTTTAAAAAGACAAAAATCTTATAACCCGATCTTCCGGAGTTGCGCTAGATATTTTTACATTATCCGCCTCTGGGTGTTCTCACAAGAATCATTTGCCAACGATTAAATGCCTAACTATAACAGTTGGCAGAGTGTGCCATATTTAGCAGGGTGAGTCTTTTTCTAGCTCTACATTCAACTAAAAAGCATCCGTAAGGCACGAACAACTCGACCTACCGAAGTTGTCCTCTGACATCAGGAATTGTGCACGTAAGGACGATATTCGCGGGCAGAAAAATAAGCCACGAAATTAGTGCGAAGAACCCTCCATTTGGAACCTCAAAAATTGGAGATGGTAATTTTCTGTTATCATCGTCGTTGCACTGAGCCACTGTGGTCTCCTCCAAAAGAGCAGTGTATTCCGTTGATTTTACTTTTTTTGAGAGATATGCAATCTAAAAGGTTCAAACATAAATTGACATAAGAAAAAAGTGTTTATATCAGCAGTAGATAAAAACACGACAGTTCACATCGAAGTAGCTGTTAGAAACATCGCACAACTATATGGTTACAGAAAGGAGTCTGAACTGAGTTCGGCGAACTTCAACAACTTGTAGTTTTTCTGAAAGCGATATGTATTAAAATTGATTTAAGCCCCTTATTCCACTGAAACGGACGTTGTATCTGTATTGAAATAGATTTAGATGTCTTTTACGTCATAATAGATAACTGTATTGCGCTCTTTTATCTATATAATTAATATAACACTTTTGATTTTGATTTCTGGTCTCTTCAAAGTCCTAAAATGAAGCGTCATAAATGAAAATAACACCAAATATCACTTCGTAATAGTTACGTATTGCGTGTGCAATAAAAACTTACCCCGTAGTGCGCAACTTTGTCTAGACGCGTGTTAAAAAGCATAATGGCCACATATAGACCGTAAAATAACAGCAGGATTACTGCCTCGTACCTGGTCGAACAAAGGGAGTTAAACAAGGCAAAGTTAATAATAGTAATTATCATATGATCGATAAGGCCATGAGATACCCTTTTGTGTTGGCCGAAAGGTCACACACACACTGATGGGTCTTTGTCACATTTCGTACATTCTTGGCAGTTTTACTTTACATAAAGTGCTAGATAAAATGTGCGATTTCATTTTTTTTTGCTCAACTTCTACTTTTTATTGGAATGCAATATATTGCTACCTCGGTCGACACTAAATAGACATATCAGATAAATCATCGTTTTAATGAAAAAATATTTAATCCTAGATAATAAAAACGATGGCTTTGATCAATTTTCCGCTCAAATTGGATTAATATTTCCCACAATTTAACGTAGTGACCTACTCTCCAACCAATTGTGACCACAGTGACCAATTGTAATAGGTAAATATTTACCATTTTGTATTGCAAATTTATCACCCTACGATATTTCTAAATATAGCTACTGTTCGTTGGTAGAATTGTACGGAATTGAAAGAAAAGTACGCTTCGCGTCGTAGGAACGATATAAACATACTCAGATAGAAGACTAGGTCGTTTAATTGATGCATAGTAGAGAATGAGTAAATTGTGCGACAAAAAAAACTCACGGAACCCCTGTGAAAACCGTTATCGCGAATTAAAAAACATAAACCAGTTCGTTCAAACATCGTTTTGTTTCGCAACCGTGATTTAACGGTTTTTGAAAGAACGGCGTCTTGTCCACATTTGCCTTTATAGCCCCGCCTTATTGCTAACCAGGCAGATTATGTGGAAATAATTGCTGCTCCTAGTTAAAGAATAGTATGCATTCTAGAAGCACGTAGCCTAAGATTACTACTTCAGGTTTAAGGTTTTAACAAAAGTAATCTGCTTTCAGTATCATTCAGAGAAATGGGAAAAATGTTTAGCTACTCAGAAATGTAGAATTGCTTGAGCAGATTAGCAAAGTAGATGACCTATGCGTGACTGGACCATAGGGTTACATATATTACAACTGAATTGTGATAAAAACAATAAAAGTAGCACTACACTTCAAGCGAAATTGTTTCCCAATCTTTATCAGGAGAGCTTCACAAAGTCCTTCGTGAAGTTTCACATTGATTAACTTTTTGTTTCTTGCACACAAAAAAAACCACAGTCTTTGATCTTATTCAACTGCAGGATGCGATTCGCATTAAAAATTTACTGGCTGGATTTAATAAAGTTGATACTTGAAATTTTATGCATGAGAACACTAGTAGATTTCATCATAAATCTGCGAATGCTTACCATGACACGAAGTTGTCCGAAATAATGATTATAAGAAGGGTGACGCTCATTATGTATACGACGCTGTCGCGACTTATCGGGAACCAGTCAATTTTCAAGTCCTAGATCGTGATAAACCATATCAATTAAGTTCGCGATGCCGTACTATAATTTTTTCCTGCCTGCGAGTACTGTTAGAAGTCGGAAAGCGCCGGTTAAATAATAGCTGTTAGCTATCCGCAGGAGAGTCGAAGCAGAATATGATTAAGTTTACGCAAATACTAAACAGATTTTTTAAAATTAACAGCTTTACGGTTGTGGGTTACCGTCTGTTCTCGAAGATGATGTTCTGTTTTAGAAGACAGATACCTTTAGCCGGAGTATAGTAACAAACGTATTTGTATCAAAAGAAAAAAAGGTAGTACCTTAAAGAAGCTGCATCATCAACTGACCTTTTTACCGACCGCCAGGCCAATTACTGCCGTCACACCAAGAATATTGAATACCGCCGATCCAACAATGGTGCCTAAGCAGAAAAGCAGAGAGAGCTTTACAAATATTAACCAGGATTATAGAATCAGAAGATCTGGCTGGTGCAAGTCAATGGAAATCTGCCGGCAGACATCTTAGAGGGCAAAGTGTAATATAAGTTATCGTATGTAACAGCTGTATCCGTACCAACTCCGATGTCACCCTCAGTGATAAACGAGCCGATGACAGAGCTGAATAGTTCAGGGGCAGAGGTTCCTATTGCCATGAAAGTCGCACCGGCGACATCCGACGAAAGACCGCAGGCTAATTATTCATTTGAAGACAATTGAACAAAACAAAGATCGTTTGAGAAAAACGTCGAAGGGGAACAGAATACACTGTGGACTTTTCAATGGCTATTATTTAGCTGCATCTTCATGAGGTGTGATAACACACCGAAATAGCTTGCCCAGTACCACGACAATATGGTTTGAAAGTAAAGGTGAAAAAGACAAAAACATCGAACTTCAGTAAGCCAAAAGGAACTCCATGCTGATTAGGCGGAAATTACCGCTGATAGCGGAAAGATGCGTCGTTTTCAGATAAAATTATACGAATTTACGTAGATAACGGTTTGCTTGCTCTATTGGATCTTATAAAAATACGTTTTTTTTTGTGGGAACATAAGGAAAACAACAATCAACGACGGCAGTATATGTTTAAACAGAACGTTTGGGGTGTGTTCCTACGTTTGACATTTTGACAAGAAAAGTGCGGAATCCGATTTTTGCTCTTATACTTGCGATGTGAACGGTCTAGAAATCTCTACTTTTTTTTTAAAGGTCTAACGGTCAGCTAATAAATTTCTTAACGCGATTCTTCGCAGAGCACGGGTTTTGCTAGAGCTATCTACAACACATAGGAAATTTTCTTTCAACCTTCTGCTTGCTGTACTCATGGGGAGATGAAGATATCGCCCCACACACGGTAGCCCAGCACGCTGCGCTTTATTAGGTTTTCCAGGCTTTTACAAGCATTAACATCCAAAGAGCCCTACGAAACCATTACGGCATATTGTCCAGAGTCTTCCTGAGCACCTGCTTATGAACTAAGATGCTTCTTCGTTCCAAAACTGCACACTTAAAAGTCTATTAACGACAGTGTTCAATATGTTTTATATCCTTTTGGTTGATTTAAAGTAGCACCTTTAATTACTTACCATCGCTGGCAATTTCCAGGCTAGGTATAAAGTAGCGATTGCAAACGATACCCATTACGCCGCACATATAGAGAATTACAGAGATATGAATTGCGATCGCCCCAGTCGCCCTCTGCTCTTGCGTGAACAGGTCCTGCAGCCACAAGGACAATACAAACCGAAAAAACACGAGTACGAGTTAAGCTGATAGCTCGGAAAAACATCATTATATATTACACAAAAATGAGTGACGGTGTACGCGCAGTTCATCCAGAACGGTTGGTCTGCGGTCCACAGTGTTTAATACTCTAAGTCTACAAAGCTAGTTTAATGAAGCCAAAGACAGCCATCGATTCATCATTCATTTCGTCAAACGTTTTCGCATATGGCTTAAAAGTATCACAGAATAACTTTCATACATTTTGGCGAAATTTATTGAATCATTTGTTTCTATCATTTATGTTGAACCGAATAGCTAAGGAAATCGCGATGCGTCGAAGCTGTAGTTATCAATCCGTTACGCTGGTCACTATTTGTGACGTGACGTATATTGCTCCTAATGAAATTACTAGCAGCGTCTCGCAGTACGCTTGAAACCCTACAGATCTTTGTTATATTTAGATATCTATTTCAAGGTCTCTTAACGGTGCAAAATATGTTCCGTTTTTACAGAAAAGCATAATTCCTTTTCAAGTCATTTTAGCTAAGATAATTTTGCTGTTCTTACAGAATGTCCTATTATCTGTATGAAACAAAAAGGGACTGCACGTGCACGCGGGCATTGGAGAGAAATTTTCAGACTTTTTATGAAAATGTGTGTATGGGCTTGTTTTGACAGCAAAACGCTGCGGGGCAAAACATCATGCCCTAGATCGACAAATTGCGTTAACGCAAAAAGCTGACCAAAGCTTAGCTCGTGCTATAGACTCCACCGCCGCTGCACTTTCTTATTAAATAAATAGAGTGGAAACGGCCAGTTGATTCGGGTATCAGAATACATCAACATCATTATGATCATATGCTAAAATATATAAAAAGTCATGTAGATCACAGTAGTAACCGTGATAACGCTAGGTTCATTACCGGCGGAAAGTCATTGATCGAGGAGAATGTACAGTTGGTGGGTACTAGAGGGTCCATCGTGACGTCTGTGTCGAGTAGCGGCCTGATCGAAGTCACTGTGGAACGCGTGCGCGAATTTATTTATCACTATTTTTTACTGCCATTAAATTGAAGTAGCTATTCGCATCGTTCTCAAGAAAAGATGCACGGAAATTCAAATGGTTCAGGAACACGATGAACGCCTTCTGATAAGTATAAGAAAAAGCAATTGTTAGAATTTATTCAAATCAGTAGCCGTATCTGGCCGTTCCTATGGCAACTAAATGTTGCGAGCCAATTATGATGCATTATAAAGGTTTCTATATATATATATATATATATATATATATATATATATATATATATGTTAGGGTACGGTATCTGAATTAGAACAAACTTTGGCCTAATGGGCACGCATTCATTCATCATAGATGTTATCCAGTTCTGCTGCAGAGAAACTCCCCCAAACACTAATTTCACCGAAGTCAACGAGCTATGTTGCTGTTAATTTTCATAGAACTTTTGAAGGATTCATGAAACGTTCTCTGTTTGAAGAGTTTGACTGTTTCGTCAGCTTGCATTTTCTAGCATAAAGTTTCATTCCACTGAAATTGTCTCTATCGAGCAGCACTATAATGACCATACACTTACCAGTATCGTTCTACGCAGAATTACTAATGAAGAATTAGTCGCGGATTAAAATAGTAACGTTTTAAAAAGTACTAGTTAATGGTTCACTTTTCGTATTGAACCTGCAATCGCGATGGATAGTAGTCAGTTATGCTGCATATGCAAAAAACATTGTTAACACATACGTTTTTAAGGGTAAAATATAGGGAGGAACTGCAATTTACGTGCCATATACATGTGTATATAATGAACACTGTCAAATTATCAAAGGACTTTTGCCTTATTCTATATACTGATGATAATACGTCGAGCACTTATCTCACTAACGCAGCGTAGCTAACCGCTAACAAAAGTTCTCGTGCGACGCGAAATCGCCCAGTATTTTATCACTTATACACTGAGTTCTGCTCTGAATACCTCACCTTCATAATAGGCTGTATTGAAGCACGGAAAAACCAATAATACATCCCTAAGCGTCTAGTGTATTCGCGTACCCATTAGACATTGGTTAGAGGTTTCTTTTAAAAAAAGCGTTAACGCTTTTTTTCTTAAAACGCTTTGAAGATAGCGCGCATGCCGCGCATCAAATAAGTGTGACGGCAGGCAGTAAAAGTATAGAGCCCATTGGACTACGACGCACCTCGCTCTGTCCCTATTTATCGTGTACAAATAGACCCTGTGGTCGCATAGCACCCCAATAGAAAGTGATTCACGCAGGAATAATGTACGTAAGCAAAAAACTCAATTGTCATAGAATGTTATTGCTTAGATATGCCTAAATATTTTGAGATCTGCCCGGTCACCTAGATTAAGCCATGATTCGCAAAACTTACTCACAGCACTTTTCAAACTCTATACTTTACCCAGCTACCTTCCTCTGTTAGTGATAGACCATTTATACAGGCTTTATAGTTGATCGGCCTGCGCTCAAAGCCTCTCCAAAATCAAATTTCGAAAGAATAATGTCCTTCATGATAAACGGAACAGATGAATAGATCTACCCTTTATTTATTAATTAATTATACACTTTTATTTTTTACAATTTATTATTCATTAATTATACATAATAAAAGCCAAGTAAATCAATCGATGATTCACGGATTAGCGGTCGGAAAACGTTGGGACCAGATAGTCGATAATTCGCTAACAAAAGGGGTCATTACCTGCCTAAACAAAACGTATTCCCATAAAGCAAAATAGGATTATCTGAACATTTTCCGCCTAGCAAGAAACGTAAATGATTGTCACAAATGATACACGCATGAACTTTCTATGAGGCCTGTGACAACAATACTACCCATTAGCTATTGGTAAAAGGTACACAATAGCGAAATCATAAACGGCGGAGATGGCTTACTCGATCAAGGTACAATGCAATAGGTCACTTTTCATCTGAACTAGAATGTTCTTCAATTGAAATTCGAACGCCTCTCGATTGAGTCGAAATAACTATTTCGACGTGTTGATGTCCTTAAGACTGCTCGGACAGAAAATAGGCTAACTTGGTTCTGTGCAGCACGTCTACTTTAACCGAATCCCTTGAATCACGAGCCCATAGCAGGGATTTCGGGGGTCGTCACTCGCAATGCTCCCCATAAGAAACAAAAGGACCTATGAATGCGTTTGTATATCTGGATTTCTATATCGCGTGCTGAAACTTGTTGCAGGATACGGCTCTGTAGCCATGCAAGAAGAAGAACAATAGGAGACGGCAAAAATAGAGTGTCCGATGCCGTGCGTCCGAGATAAGGCAAATTGCACCGCTTTCACATTCCGATACATCATCAGAATTCAGAAAGAGGACTCCGTGGTAATGTCATATGTTTAACCAAATGAACGGTTCGTGAGATTTTCGAAAAAGAAGAGATTTTGTCGTTGCCTGAAAAATTACTCGTTGGCCTTCGTATAGCCCATATTTGTTTGCCATTGACTTATCGGGCTCTGTTTCATGATTTTGATGGCAAATCAGCGTTGAGAATAGATCGTACTCTCTGCCATTCTCTCTTCTATGACTCTTAAGGATCTATTTTCTAAATAGGCTATGTGCATTCCTGATCCACTGACTACGTATTATCGAACAGCGTCAATCTGAGGCACTGAGCCGGCACATAGAGCAGTTTTGCGTGTAACACTATGCTGTATCGGCTTCTCTTATCGAAGCTGTCCTTGCGCTAGTTTTTCAGCCTTTAAACTTTTCACACGGTATAGCTTCATTTGAACGTTTTTCATTGATTAATTTGATATTTACCAATAGCTCGATGTCTTGAACTGCTTGACAAGTCTGCCTCAATATGCCGTCGAAATGTCGTTCGTTTTCAACAACTAACAGCTGATATCTTCATCGTGATCTATCTGTAAGCCGTCTATTATCATGAGCTGTCCGTGTGTTTTCTTTCATGCATAATAGTTACACACAAAAAACTACAGAGGTATGACAGGACTTTTCATGTTAACTATCAGAGAGCTAGTTACTGCAACGAGTTTGTTCAAGCTAGATATTAGCAAATGCAGTGGCAACCAGTTCACTATGTTTGCCCTGGTATTGAGCGTAATTTCGTAAATAACTGGTCCACAACAATCAATGCAAGCTTACTCAGTAACGGACGTGGGGGGAACACAGACGTACAACACGCGAAAGCCAGCAGTAGCGCTATTGTTTTAATATGATTTTGGCAGGCATTGCTTTATTCCACCGGCAAACTCTTTCTTTTAGTTACCATTTAATCACTGTACGTCATCAGCAAGCACACTTATCGCACCAGTCTAGCTTCGAAATACTGCCATGTACAGATTCTAACGTAAATGAACTAACAACATTGACTCTTGTCACAACCGAGGTGCCTAGCACATACGCAGGTTCCTTTCATTCCATTGCAGTCGAATCGCTCCAAGCGATTGTTGGGTAAGTGATGAACAGGTTTGTTAGCTTCCACACTGACCACCTGAATGCGTAATGCATCTAATCTCATCCTTTCTGTAGGCTTATTTTAATGGCATAGCTAAAATAGGTCCTAGCTTCTTTTCCCCTATTACCGGTTCAATCGTGACGTGTAAGGCTTCATTACATGAACACCTTTTCCTGCAACAAGATCAAGAGGTTTTACCTACATACTTGTCTTGGATGCCTGGACTGTGATCATTCGTAAGGCGCGTTAATAGGCATTCAGGTAAATAGTGCTAACGCTGGGTATAGTGCCAATACAGAACTCGGGGTGGGCGTAACAAATCCTATACAGTTGGGCTGTTGCGACTTACACGAAATTTGAAGGGTCTATGAAAATGGTAAAAAATTTAGACAGTTAATCGTTCAAATGTCGTAGCCTTATCCAATCGACGTTTTTTTGTTTGGTTTAAATGTATGCGCAGTTAACCTGGGATGCACTGGTGGATATTAATGAATGTAAATCAACACTAATAATACTTAATAATATGACAAGAACGGAAATTTTCCTGTTATATTTTGCCCAACGTTTTACCAGGGATGATAATCTTCAGTCGTATATATTTAATTGCTAAAAAACGAACGCTTTTTATATATCTTGTAAAGTTAGACATCAAATCATTCGCCAGGTTCTAAAGTCGACTCTTTTTATCTATTGCGTGCGGAACATTACTTACGCTTCATTTTTACCTCTAAAATTACCTTACAGGAAAAGGTAAAATGTAATTTAGGGAAAATCAGCCTAAGAATCAGTTGTGCTAACGACCAATATCCCAGCACTAAATTATGTTAAAAATAATTGGTCCGTTACTTTTTTCATTTTTTTTTTAAACAGAATGTGTTAAAGAAATAGTAGTAAATTAAATATAAATAAACAGAAAAATAATTTTCTGAAAAACATAACACCTCCTCTAGTTACGTCAGACTTACAAATAACATCATTGCGAATACCATTTCATAAAGTAATACCACTTGGACTTTTTTAGAGACTTCTAGACAAAAGTACTTATCTACTTATTTGTCGAGTTCTTTCATATTTTGTGTTTCATTTTCCAACATTCGTTTAGTGCTTTCATCTTAGAATATTTGCCATGGTTGAGTTCAACAGACTTGAATAGTCTCAATAAGAAAAGCTCATAGAAGTTGAATATGTCCAACGTTCACGTTTAAATTAACAATATTTATAAATATCGATAATTTTGTCAATAATTACTTGTATTCCCAACAATAATGCAATATAAATTTTCTCAAAATTATTATTGAATGAGAATAAAAAGCTTTCTGCTGACCCCCTGGCGTAATCTCTGCACACGATTTTTTAATAAATTATTGATAGAACTGGGTGTGATGTTACAGTGTGACTTCTACCGTCAATATTTGCGTAGCAGAAGTATTAGGTTAAAGTAACCCTTTGTCGATTATTGTGCTATTCTATATCAGTGTTGTGACCCGTGACATAAAGATGAATCTGTTTACCATTCAACGCTAGCATGTCCCAACAAACAGCCGCTGACAGAAAGTTTCCCCTCAGAGAGATCTGATTTGGAAAACGACGTCTGATCAAGCTGGTCGTATTGGGGGTAAAATCGGAAGCTCATAATTTAAGCGAGTTATTGTTGTAGAGTATTGTTTACATTATCCTCTTTAAGATTAAACACACATCGTTTACCTTTTTGGTGCTTGCCTATTAGGTACTCTTTATGTCTATTAGACTCAGTATGCGAGAAAATGCATAAGTGTGTTATTGAACCAAGAGTTAGACCTATGAAGGAGGTAAGATCATTCGATAGAAACACGGTCAATGAGTGTGGTGCATTGTTAGTCTAGCCTTATTGCCGAAGTAAAAGTATTTTTATGTTAGTATTGACGGTAATAAATTACCTGATTATTAAAATTAGACTTAATTACAATGCGGTGGCTTGAATATCCAAACCTCTGGTTGCGGTGTGAAGTGCCGCCAACAACCCGTTCGAGTTTTTTTTTTTGTTAATACAATTACAGCTTTCGGACCTAGAGCATTGCACTAAAAGATCACAGGCTCCGTGCAAAACTGCCAAGGTTTATCGGCGGTCTATTTATAGTAGAATTTAGTAAACGATGTCTATTTCATCAGACATCGCGGAAAAAGTGAGCTTCTGCGACGTACTCCATACAAGCGCGAATTTTCGTGCCAATATGAAAAGGTGGGGCTGTCATACGGCTAAAATCAATTTATGACCAGAGATCACGCGTTTTAAAACGAATGCGATCGATATTTGTGGTTTGCATCCGCTGGAGACCGTCAAATAGCGAACCATACCTGGATACATTGCTGTAGACAAACGATGCAGAGGCAGATACGATAGTAACGATATCGTTGATGCTGGCAAAAATCGTTCGAGTGCCTGAATATATGATAAACTATTTGTATGGCTATAACAGGCAAAATCTTCTTTATTTGCACATCTTACAAAACTGGAAGATGGGACCAATGAGCTGACGCTTTTAGCTCGTGTGACGAAAGAGTTTTTAATTGACTTTCAAGAGCGAACGAAATCTTCCGAGGGTCATTATGGACGTTTTTGAAAAGGCCGCAAACTGATCGATGCTTTTGGTGAGATCATTTTGAATTGTTGATGAATTTATATGCTTTACGACGATTATGACCCAGGGCTATAGCATTTAGTATCGATGGAGGCACTCTAAAGTTACCTCACTGATACTCACGAACGAAAATTTCATCTGTAGTAATAGTTAACATCTTTGACGATCTGGAAGATATGGAAAGCCCTTCTTTGAAACCGATTTCATTTCCACGTCCCGAGTATTTTCTGGAAATTTTTGAAAAATATATTCTGGCTGAGTTGGTTAAGGTAATCACAGAAGAGGCAACTGTGTTGGTTTTCAATAAAAGTGTATGTCACCAGGCTTCCTCTAACAATGTCCTCTACGATATTGCCCGCGTTTTGTTATAATCTACCGATTCCACTAATTATAGAGGAGAACTGAATAGATATTATCGACAATATTAAATGTACAATACCGCGCAAGAATCGAAAATAGCATTTATCTAATTATGCTGCTTTGTCAGCTCTGCCGTAGACTCTTCAATGATCACAGCAAGCCTGCGCCATTTTGACCCTTTTACGTGAGCCCCAGTCGTCCAATATAGAGCCCACAAAGGAGAACTATGTGTCAAGTAACTGTAGTAGAAAACAGAATATTTCAACTTGCCATTCGGAATAGTTTACTTGTGGTCCTTTACTAGCACACCGTACAAGTGTTTAGAAGGACGGGTCATAAGCTTTTAAATGACGAATTTTTAACAAGCAACTTTTGGGTCTTTGGATGCTGTATCCTTTTCGATTCCATTCAGAGGCTCGTGGCGGCTTGCTTATGCCGTCGAAACCCACGTTTAGCGAGTTGCATCTGTGAACTGATGGGTCGGTCAATTTGCCCGGAGAAATAATTTACCATTTATGAAGAAATAGTTCTTCTATAAGCAAGACAGCAAATCGACGTATTCAAAAAAGATCCGATACTGTAAAGCGTACTGAAGATTCCGATTTCGCTCAGTGAACTAGTGTTATATATCTTGTTATATATTTTACAACCCAAAAATGGTGTTTCGATTGTTATTTACTTTAACGCAAAACTGCGCACTTTTTACAAACAACTATATTTCGAAAAAAATATATATGAAAATACTTTTAACTACTAGGGTAATCAACAATTGCATTTGCGGCTGATTCATTTTTTATAAACTCTTGTCTTTAATTTCCTTATAAAGTGTGTGTACTTGCTTATATGTTGATATTTTGAATCTATACATTTAGAAATTCACTTCCTGCGTTTTATAAAAGACGTCTCAGCGTTTGTCCACACGGCTTGTCGCTTCGAGCCCTACAAATATGCAGATGTTTGATGAAATTCAAGACCGTTACGGGGTTCGTATCGTCTAGAGCATAGCAATGCACCCGTTTCTCATTTCTGTTATTACTATGCAAGCAAGCTGTACCGCATGAGAACGACAAACGCAATGTCAAAGGTACTTGTAATAGACGCCATCTGAGTAACGCGCCTGATTTCGTTAGCGTTACCAGTGTAGCAACGTCAAGTGATAGTAACCGAGAGGAGCATATATCGCTAACGTCATCAAATCATTTATCGACTAACTTTATACTTAGTAAGGGTACAGTTATAAAATGAGCGTGTACTTAAAGCCCTTCAAACTCTTGCCTCCTGACAGCAGCAACATTCGCTGCGGGCATTCCCCTACACGGCGACCCTCGGTGATATCGAAAGGCACTCGGCCCGATGTCCAATCAAATTGGCGGTCCTCACTAACCTAATGCAATTAATATAAAAATATTGAGTCCTTTCGAGCAACGGATTTGTGATCCGTCTTCATCCATCTTTGGTTAACCGCGTCGAGCCGCGTGCGTAACAAAGTTGCTGTACACTCCTATAGTATCATTTAAATGTGTCCAGGTCTGTCCCATCAATTATAATTGAAAAAAGTTCGCATATTACTTTATTAAGTTAAACACTAAATTATACGCTATATTTGTATGCTTTTTCAACTTACTACTTGAACTGTTACTGCAAAGGTCCACTTAGTTGGTTAGTGAAAAGTTGTATATGTAGCATAAACATTAGTCGTTTCATCTACAAAGTTAGATAGTAATTGTCGATGTAAACAAATCGCGCAGAAAGGTCACATATAGACCACAATCTACCTAGAAACTTAGCTTCTTATTTAGAATCAAAACGTACATGTTTGTAGATAAGGTTTGCACTTTCGGACCTAAGGACAGCGCTGCCGATAGCTTTTTACTTACGTGTTCCAATCTTGACTCTTTTTCGTTGCTGAGATTAAAACCTCCAACAATGATACGGTGGCTACAGCCGATTCTCTCCGTCTGGCGATGCCACTCCTGCTGCGTTCATGGCGCTCCTGTTGGCCTATTTTGCTGCTGTATCCGAATTCGCAGCTTCAACCGCTATTTTTGCATCTTTTTTAATGCCGAATTCACGTGTGTTGTACGGTCAGTGCTTAAAACCAATTTTTTCTCTCGCGCATTTTGTCTCACCAACCGCCTATTTCTACCTTTTATATTCCTAGGGGAAACTAATATCTTATTTGTTCTGTGTGAAACAAAATTAAGAAATTTTCGATTTGTTAAATAATCATATAAAAAGTATATACGTATATATAAGGAGCAGCGCTATCGTTTTCATAATATATAACACTAGGCAAGTAACATGATTATCTACACACCACTCAATAAGCGTCCTCAGCTGAAAAAAATGCGCTTTTCTAAAGGTATGTGAAAATAATTCTACTGGTTTACTTAATGTCATCCAGATTTCTAAGGGTCGAATTAACAGTATTAAACATTTACTTCATTGTGTTAATACAAATATGATAACGCGACATAAAATATAATTGTCTGAACTGACCCTCAAGAACATTAGAAAAACAACAGGCTATGCAGAATAAAAAGTCTACAACGATTCTCTGTTGCCTATTGTTCTACCATCTCTTATTTCTAGATAATGAGTTTCTGTAAGCCCTGAAAGTATAGGATGTTCTATACTTAGATGCTTAACTAGAGATTGCCCGTGGTGTAGATAGTTGGAAATACGACGTTAGAGGATATGCTATCGACTTTTAATAATTGTAAAGTAAATACATACAGCTGAATCTTTAGGCGATAAATAAGTCATTTGTGAACCCATTCACTCAGGCTGATACCCGTGTCATGCAAAGGCTAATATTGTGGGTGCTTAAAAATACGGAGTCCGTGAAGCTACGGTCTTTTCACCCAATCTTTTTTTTTCATAAGGAACATATGTTGTACAGCTTCTGTCAAAAATACGGACTGAAAATTCAGAAATGCAGCTAATTTTCCTTAAATACAGTGTTAAAAACACGGATAAACTGTTGGTTGCTTTGTGTGGGGGCTGCTAACGTTAGGCGCCAAAGTAGCGATAAGAGCGCCCTCTATGGTTCGAACATTCGTGACAAAAACAACTGGAGCGTACTGGTTTTCGTTGGGCGCGATTTTATCTTCTTGGTCGAAACACTTTGTCCTAACGCATTGCTTAGTGATTTTTCAACACTGTGGAGGAACCAGGAAGGCGGATAAGTGTCAGGCGTGCCAGTCGAAAACGGTAGGTTGTATTGGAAGGTGCCGGTCAATTTGAAGGGGCTCTATGAAGCTGTATCTGTAAAACTGCTGCAGTTATGTCGTTACTTGAATTGAAATATGACTCTAGCATCCGTTAGAGTATAAATGACCGGTATGCCGGAGATTAAACGAGGTAATCCGATTACCGATTTGACAAACTATATGAAAACACGGAGCTAGTCAGCGTAAGATAAACGGCTGTTACGTAATTAGGAATTATGAATATACTGATATTTATTAACTTATCTTATTTTTATACAGAGACTTTTACACCGGAGAGTGTTTCAATTACTGTAGACTTTTCCAACTTATTGAATTTATTACTTGTCCATATTGGCGACGGGTGCATATAATAGTTACTCATTGATCAACAAAGCTAACTTTAGCAACGCTATATGAATACTGTATGAATGCATTGAATCTCTAAAATGTATATATTAATTTCACTTGAAGTGAAGACCGACCGGAGTATTTCGTATAGAACCATTGCTTAAAAATTAAGTAAAGGGCGTTTTCCGCGCATATGTTGACTCTATGACAGAACCTGCTACTTTTTGCTGATGTAAGTAATAATGAAATTCATTTTCTTTTCTATACAAATTTAATTTTTATAATGGATTGGGGAAGCATTCGAGGTTGTCACTTTAGCTAAATAAATATTTATTTGATTGAATGTTAGAACCGTGTAGCTACTCAATTCTTGCCGAGCATTGTAAAGAAGAGTGTCCTCCTTCTTTGTGAATCGTAATTTATTTTATTTGCACGATTGTGGAACAAAAGCTTTAGTATAATCATGTTCATAACGTAATATCCCTTAAAGAGAATGCACGTGCAGACTCTGGGCATGTGCGTTTAACTACTTTGGAATATGGCCTGATTCTTGTAGAATTGGCTTGACAAACGAATTTCTATTAAATCGCATCAAATATGTAATGATTGAATTTGTTATTTAATAGGAAGGTTCTAATTAAAATAAAAGATAGGCCAACTTTGAGTTAGATGATCAGCCTCAAAATAAAATAACATAGACTCTGAATCTTGGAGTTATTATAAATATTAGGGATAGTCTATTCAAAATAAATTTTTTACCTTCAGAGGAAAAGAAGTATATAGACAGTTATAATATTCTTATAATATTAAGGAAATAGCAATAAAAAACGAAGTAGATATTTTTATTTAAATCAATTCAAGTTTTGAATCAAAAATTATGTAATGACGTCAGAAAAAAAAGTTGAGTTAATCCTATATGTGAAAGTTTATTAGGTCTTTTTCGATATTAAATATAACTTACAATTTTGCGTTCAAGAAGGGTGATAAAGGCAGTACTATAAAGAATATAAATTAAAGGAAGAACTTTAAGAAATGAGATAAATGTCTAAAATATCAATAGATACCTAACATAAACTATCCCTCAATTTCTAAAAGATTACATTTTACGTCTTTGTTATATGAGAAATAATACCAAATCTAGGTAAAATCAAAATATAAACTTTAGGATGACCAAAGAATTAAAATAGATGTTAATGTAAAATAGGATCTGCCCTACTTCTAGGATAAAAAAAAAGTAGTCTTGAATTACGGTCGGTTAACATTAGTAACTCGAGCTAGTATAAGCAATGATAATAATAATAATAAAATAGATGGTTTCTGGTTTTGTGGTCTGACTTGCGTAATATTGTATGATTGCTGCAAGTAACAGCAAAGTTTTGTAACTTCAGAAAACATGTTAAATTGATTGATACTGCTGAGGCCAGGAGTGAATTTTTAAGGCGTATTTTTTAAGATAGAAGTTACAATGCAAGATTAAATAATCAGAGCACTGCAATTGTATGTGTGCACAACAAGTTAATAGTGAAAGTAATTCAGTCTCGTACGGTAAGTCGTATGACTTCCTGATATATCGATGCGGTTGACTTACACATATCTTAATAAAGTATTATCATTATCAATGTACAATGTTTATAAATTAGCTTATTAAATAAAAAAGATCGACTCGATTGTAATTTATCAAAAAAAAAGCTTAAAGAAAAGTCAGCATCCAGTAAATTAAAGTTTTTATTATTCGAGCGCTTGTGCTTACATAATTAATCATTCTTTATAAACGATCGTGCGTATGGAAAAAGTATCATCTTCGTAATAATTGGATAAACTGATTTTATCTTTTTTCAGCTCGATGGCGGCGTCAGATGACTCAGACCCTGAGATGAATTCTCCTCCTTCGAAAAAACGGCTTTCAGAAGAGCGCGTAGCCGCCAGTGCACGCCGGTCCTCCAAGGTGGGTATTCTGTAATTATCGCATTAAGATGATATGTCACTTTCTGTATTATTCTGTATTAACTAATAGCTAATTTTTGAAGTTATAATGGTGAGTTCATGTTTACTCATACGTCTGCTATTTTTTTCATGGTATCATGTAGAGGTAATATTTATCACATATATATTGAACATTTTTAATTACGTGTTTATCGTTACACCACGCTGGATTATATCCAGCATGATAAATGAAATACGCTTATAATATTATTTAGCAACAGCATGCAGTACATATACCATGCTCGAACTTCATCTTAATTTTCAAATGCAATTCCGTGCCATGGTTCTTCCTACCACTGTTACTTTTGTCTTCCTCTGTTATAGGCGGAAGAACCGTCGAGTTTTAGAGCTTTAGCCGAACCCGAAGCTGCTTCCGTTGTAGAAGTATTTGCAAACGCAGGTGGAAATGGCGAGTCAAAGCAAAGCCCCATAGGTAAATCCGCTGATCCAGCGGCAGCCCAGCAGAAACAAGTCATTGTATCTGTGGAGAACCAGGAGAAGGAGACATATGGCTCGCTGGAATGTCCAGCAGAGCGCTCAATTCGAGAGAGTGGTGCAACTGAAGCTGTGATGTCCCCGTCGACAGTGACCGATGGATTGAAAAGCCCTAAGCGACGTTGTGCAGTCGGTGGATCTGTCACCGAAAATCAACCGCGGAGATCGAGGGCCTCGGCGGAAATGGCACAAAATACCCAACAGCAGCAGACTCAACAGCAAAATCAGCTTAATGAATCTGCGAAATTGCAGCAGCAGAGTGTACAGCGTGCGAGGGCGACCTCGCAAAAGACCGTGGACGAAGTTTTTGCAGGATGCGAACGTGATGAAGATGGAGGGATCAGTGGGTATCTGATATATTTTTTTTTCTACTTACTTTTTACTGGCTAGGTATCTAGAACTGTCATCATGCTTCAAGGAAGCTCTAGGAAGGGTAAACTGATAACAGGGTTATCTTATTTTGATTCATATTATTATTAAAGCGCTCGCAAACAAAAAAAGTAATTTTGAAAATGAAAAGGGCATACACGCTTCTCAATGCTTTAAATATACTGAGTTCACATGCATAAAAGAAAAATCATTTTTCACAATTATTGGACTTCCATAGCTCATTTCATTCATTCACTTTGCGAATTGACTGCGGTGACATATTTCTATATAGTACCGACTGATAAACAAACTTTCACCTACATTCTAGAATATATCGCTTACAATTCTTATATATATATACATATATATATATATATATACTATACCAAATGGGCGTATTTAGCTTTTATTTATGTTTTCTATTGTGGGCGCCGTCAAGAGAAATCGTAGTTAAGGTATACGTGTACTCTTTTACTCCATTTACAGAAATTGGTAATATCTACATTCCTCCACCGCCTCCACCAGCGTGTACATTTGAAGCAATTGGTCCACGGCTTATTATATCGAAAATTGAAAATCGGTATTTTAAAGTACGTTTAATATCTATGTAGTGTTCAGCTTTATTTTAGAACTAATCAAAAAATTATAATTGAAGAGCAAAAAAATTATAGAATTTTTCAATGGATTTTCAAAGTGTCATAGTAGTATCTTGAAGCATGAAAGTTCAGCTTACACAGATACTGTGTAAGTCAATATGAAAACACAGGTTTTTATTTATATTCATTCTTTCAAAATGGCTATTTGATCTCATACATGTGGTTCATCACTGATATCTTCTTCTTGTATCCGACAAAGGTGGAAATAGATCTTACTAATGTTTCTTATAATGTTTTAGTACGAAAACCGCTACCTTTGGTAGGATAGGTAACGCGCCAATTAACGTACCAATTTAATTTGCACGTTTATTTTCTCTTTCAGAGCTATGGCAAACACGTGATTATCGGACCTCTACACAAAAACTATTCTGGCATTGTAGGTCCTAATGGAAGTGGTAAAAGTAACGTCATTGATTCTATGCTTTTCGTTTTCGGGTAAGAAAAAGTTTTGAGTAAGATAATGTCATACGATACTGCATGCCATACAGGCAGATCTCAGAGATAGATACTAGCTGCTGTAACGCGTCTTTCCCAGAAACTTAATTTCTTCTCTAAAGAACAACATTTTAACAGTGGGGCTATACTGGATTTGAAAATTATTACCACAGTAAAAATAGGAAAACAGCTTTACTTTTAAGAATTAGAAGTGTTGGTTTCTTTATTGTTAGGTAAACAGACTACTGCATGCAGCTAGGACCAAAGCTCTAGTATTTTTTTGATTTAGATTTAAACATCTAAAACATTTGGAGTCTTTATGTTGTCCAGATTTGACAACTCTTTTTTGTATAAAATAGAAAAAGAACGTATTATATAGGACCTTTCAAACTAGGTTGACATGACCACACTCTTAAAATGTCTGTTTCAGTTACCGCTCGAAGAAAGTCCGTGCCCAGAAGGTGAGCAACCTGATCCACAACTGCGATATGCATCGGGATATAAGGAGTTGTACGGTGGACGTACATTTTGAGACCATTATCGACAATGAAGACAAATTTGAGATTGTTCCCGGTGAGTAATCGTACACACGGAAGCAGTCGTGAGCCCTTTCTTTGGGTTACGAGTACAAATTGTATAGAATGACACGTTGTAACTCGTTACTCATATGAAAGTTTGACCAGCATCGCTATATCATCAAAAAAGATATGTTGCTTCATTGCGTTATCGAAACTACGAGCAATGAACAGTAAGATGCTGTGTTTCGTAATCTTTCGATCATGCACTTTTTCTCCTGGTTTCGATTTTACAGGTTCGAAACTAGTAATCGGACGTACAGCATTCAGGGACAACTCCTCACATTACACTTTGAATGGGCGCCAGGTGTCTCAGAAGGAAGTAACAAAGATACTTCGTCAGAACGGTATCGACCTAGAACACGATCGATTCCTTATTCTTCAGGTAGGTCATAATTTCTGACTACCTTTCATCTGTTACAATTCTTATTCGGTTCGTGCTCATTCTATTACGTAATGAATATAAAAGCCAATATTATTTAGTCAAACTATAACATCAATCACTTTCTTACTTTCAGGGTGAAGTGGAGCAAATTTCAATGATGAAACCGAAAAGCGAATCTGAAAATGATGACGGAATGCTCGAGTATCTTGAGGACATTATTGGTACCAACCGTTACAAGGAGCCAATTGAAGCTTTTGTCAAAAATGTCGATGCTCTGCAAGAAGAACGAAATGCTGCCCTGGATCGCGTCAATATGGCTGAACAAGACATGCTAGCGAAAAAGGAACTTCGCGACGAGGCTATCGATTTCCTCCGGCTATGCAACGACATGACGCGTTGCGATCAGCAGCTTTACGAGATCGCTCGCTGCGACGAAAAAGAGAAGAAATTCGGCATTGAGAAACAGCTTGATCAAGCTAAGGTGAATTGCAACCTTATCGTATGATAGCGCCACTTCTTCATATACATTTTATGTGATGTGTATTTAGATTATTCGATGTTGAAAATCGATGCGGAAAGAGACGCGGTAACAAGGTATTGAAATATATTATTTTTTAAGTTTTTTTTGTAACATATACACTTTAAGCATATTCAGGAAAGTGCAAACTCACCTGATGCAATCTGCACAGTTCTTGCGGTTACAGTTGAAAAACCGTCTATATGTATGTTTTAGGACTACATCATGTATATTACCATATCAATTATATGGTAATATATCATCAGGTAGAAGAGAGCATGCTTCGCATCCATTAATGGCCTCAGATGTGTCTAATATTAGAACCATGTCTTGTTGTTTATTCAGGCAACAGTCGAGAAGATCAAAAAGCAAATGACTGAATTTCTTGAAGAGAACAAAAGACTTACGGACGCTCATAAAGCTTTGTGCCGTGAAGAAGCTGAAGTGCTAAAGCAAGGTGAAACGCTACAAGCACAGTACACCGAACTCGAAACAAAAGATATTAAGTGCCGCGAGGAAATCAAACACGCAAAAACGGCCATTAAAAAGCTCGAGAAAGACCAGGAAACGCAAAGTAAGAAAATCGAGGTAAGCGTTTCTTACTTGTCGTTCGATTAGGACATGCTGAACGATCTTGTAATTGCTATTATTGATAAGCATTCAACCGGATAGGTGGAAGTTTTTGCTTTGTTCAGTCACTAACATGCGCGTATGAATACGCTCATACCATCTGATCACAGAAATTGAAATCAGACGCGATCAAACTCCCTGAAGAGAAGGCCGCGGCGGAAGAGGCCGCTAAGGAATTAATTGAAGAAGTTGCAAATCTCGAAGCCGACTTGCATTCACGTATGGAAGATCTTAACAAACAAGTATCTCCGATTCAGGTGAGAATCGCATCTCTTTGCTACTATTCTAGCCTGTCAGCCTTAAGTTCTTTTTAAAAAAAGGGAGCACAATATATGTGTTATAGTTTGTTTGGCATGAATAAGGCATTTTTACATATAATAGTATAGAAACCGGAGAAGTAATGATTATATTAGTCATAATATATTAATTGTTCGTTCGTACTCAAGAACTAGTTACCCTACGCTAGTTTATTTTCGCAGGAGGAAAAGTCTACACTTGAGAAGAACCTTCTCGAGCTGCAGCGCGCTGTTAACACGGCCAAGTCTGCATTCTCAATGGCTCAGAGTGAGCTCGAATTGATGACTTCGTCTTCGCGGACAGAGCAGCGAAAACTCGAAGAGCGGGAACGAGCGTTGGAAGAAGCTCAGAAAAAACTCCAGGCCAAAGAGGAGCAGGTCTCAAAAAGTAAAGAGGCGTTACCTAGCCTAAAAGAGGTGAGAAAATGAGCCTTTCCGACAAGAACAACAACTAATCTCATACAGCGAAACGATTTCAAGATCTGAACTAAATTAATCTACTAACGCAACATGAAAGTAACAACACGAAAGGTACAGCATCGCTTTCACATAGACCAAATTTTAAGAAGGACAGGAAATATTTCTGGGTTCAAGTAACTAAGGCTCTAACAATTACAAAATGCCTAACATACTGGGTAGCTTTTACATTTTTTTTTTTGTTGAACTGAAGTAGGCGTACGAGAAGGTTCGACACGATTTAGAGACTGTTGATCGAGAGTATGAGGAATGTCGCGCTAATTACAACTCGAGTCGAATAAAGCTTGAGGAAATGCGAAGTACTAACACTGCTACTAGAACAAACAATCGACTTCTCGATGCTCTGATGAACGAAAAAAGGAAAGGGGGTGCTCTCAGCGGTATCATCGGAAGACTCGGAGATCTTGGAGGAATTGACAAAGAGTAAGATTGTCCGATTACTACTAACTAAACAAGCAACAATTTCCTGCTAACTGCCCAGTCCAGGACACAGAAACCCTTAAATAACAAATATGATATATTTGCATAACGATTCTAGAAGTCGACAAATAGTAGTAACGGAGTAAATGTTTCTAGGCAGATTGAGCTGTACCGTATTATAAAGTAAGAGAATTATAGGTTGTAGCATGAAGTGTATGACACGCGCTTGTTTACAGGTATGATGTAGCCATATCGATGGCATGTGGATTACTTGATTCAATTGTGGTAGACACTACTAGTACGGCAAAGGAATGTATTAAATACCTACAAAAACACAACCTCGGAAAAAGTAATTTCTTAGCTCTGGAGAAAATGAATCAGTAAGTCATCATATCATTAGTAGTAGTAAATCTACTTCTTTTCAAGCTTCTTTATGTAGGTACCAAGTTATTCTTTACAACTACGTTTGTCAAAATTATCTTTCATATTGGAATTGAACTATTTTTAACTTGTCTAGGCAAAAAAAACGATATTTTAAACGTATCGGAGTACTTTAGATACAAGTAATTTTAGACATAGTCTCACCAGCAATACATATCATAAAACCGTAGTGAATAGAAAAAGGTATATATTTCAGATATCGCGATTTACGGCTGGTTATTAAATTATCGCACGCTTTATATTTTTGCAGTTTAATTGGTCAGGCAAAACAGTCCATCCGAACACCTGAGAATGCGCCACGCCTCATTGATCTTGTGCAATTGTCGGATCCAGCTTATCTCGGCGTATTCTATTACGCTCTGCGTGACACCCTCTACGTTCACGATATTGATTCTGCAACCAGAGTTGGTTTAGGCGGTGTACAGAGATTTCGCGTGGTCACGAATAAGGGTGAAATCGTAGACCCTAGTGGAACTCTGACCGGAGGAGGCGGACGAACTTATGGTGGGAAGATGGGCCGAAAGGTAATATTATCTATTATATATCTAATATTACCTACTAAAGAAATGTTTAATGTTTTTTTTTTAACTTTATGATATAATTAAACCGAATATGTTTTACTAACAGCGAAATAATGAATAATAGGGTCAAAATAAAATTAACTTATAGGAAATATTAGAGATAACCGGGAGCTAACAAGAACTAAAATTTGTTAATGACACGATTGTGATAGCACGGGTGTTGTATTGTAATCTGATACAGGCAAAATTGGATACATCAATTAGCGATTCAGAAATAAGCGCCCTGACGTCGCAGGTCGCAGAAATGGAAAGCCGTATGACAATTCTAGCAACACGAAAAGACGATACGGGACGCCAGTTGTCTCAAAAGAAAAAAGAGCTTGACCAAGTAATACAAATGGATCAGAAAGTCTCACTTGAGGTCTCAGCCTTGGTCGAAGAGATTCGTTCTCTAGAAGGACGAATCAAAATGCAGGTAAGTTAAGCAAAAGCCCGTTTTAGAGTTTGAAATGCATATTTTCGAATGCCTGATATGCGCATTTCGTTACCAATTAATTGGCTTGACAAGCTTTAAGTTTATGAGCAATATCTAATAATGCCTTTATGGTTACGCAGGATATAAGATTGAGGCTTGTTTCGTGTGATGAATTTAAAAAATGGGCTAGATATAATTATTTATTAAACAAGTTCCGTAATTTTCGGTGACGAAATGGACAAATGACCGCCAGTATGTAAACTTAATACTGATACAAAAGGATGAAAATTTATGGGCATTAAAATAAACCCTTTAGCATAACGACTACACCCAGATATCTTTATCTTTACCAAGATATGCTGAAGGATTATATTTATCTTTCAGCAAAAATCAGTTGCTGAGAAAACAGTCGATCCAGTGAAACTACAACAACAAGAGACTCGGGTAGCGGAAACCCGTCAAGCCTATGAAGAGGCAGAAAAATCGACTGAGGCCGACCGAAAAGCTGTTGAAACACTGGACAAAAAGATAAACAAAATTAAGTATGTGCTGCACTTTAGTGTAGGAGCTATAAACAGATAATAGAATAAGGCGAGAAGATGAACACTCGGTCACCCCTCGGGTGTCTAGTTTAGATGGGAGTAACTTTTCCAATTACGTTTTTACATATTAGTGGCAGCTTTCCACAAGCGTAAAACAGATAACGGTGTGCGTACCATTCAGCCTTTGTTTGTTATTATCCGAGTGAACTATTATAGTGGAAGGGAAAATTTTATGGAAATAAGCTGATTTTTTTCTATCTATGTGCGCTATTAAAGGGAGGAACGCATCGGTAATGTAAAAAACAAACTCGAGAAAGCCCAGAGGAGTTTGAAAGAGGTAGAGGCGAAAAAGACACAGTGTCAGGTCGGCATAAACAACTCCGAACGAATGTTGGTTCAAGCCGAGCGCAAGTTGGCGGATATTGCTGCTGAAATGGCAACGGTACAGGAACGCCGTCAGAAGGCTAGAGAGCTCTACGATGATCTAGCTAACCAAGCTCAAAGCATCAATGAGCAACTAGAAAAGGCCAACGTAAGCTTTCATACAATCACTTTCACCAACAGGCGTGTTTCCACCTCTTTTCACAAAAATGGGGGTAGTTTTGTGTTGTTGGATTGACTAGTAATGACTAGTATCTTTGGCTTTACAGTATGCGTTTATGTTTTGTTTATTTATTCATTCAGTAACAGACACTTTCAATTAATTTCCAAAATACATGCTCCGCATCGACACGAAAACCGCTACAATTGTATTAATATGTAAATACTAGAAATTGACGTGTAAGTATGCAACGACTAAATATGTTTCAGGCACTAAAAGAGGAACTGTCTGGTAGGGTTGCGGCTTCGGCCCGAGGTCTTCACGATTTCAACAAACAGGAAGGCGTCCTTAAGATTAAACAGCAGGAACAAAAAAACATCGTTAAAGACCTTGAGAAGGACCATGACCAGTGTTGTCGAGTCATAGAAGGGTGCATAAGGAAAATCAAGGCGTAAGTGCATATATATTGATGTATGTGTACGAATTATCATTATACACTATACTGTATGCTTAACTGCGATAAGAGTCTGGCGAAAAACACCTGATTCATATAGCCCTTTTGAGGATAACATAACTTACCCGCATTATACTGGCTTATTGGTCTAAATCCTTAACTATAAGATGATCTTTTGAATATCAGTGAACAAACTTGACCTCTCTTTCCAGTCTTCGCTTGGAAATAATCGATGAAGGGGACGACGAAGATGCAGTGGCTTCCTCTGACGAGGCTGCAACTCTGCTACCGGAGCTCACCGAAGAAGAAGTTCATAAACTGGACGCAGATTCAATCGAACGAGAAAAAGTGAGACTAAGCGAGATCAAGAAAACAATGAAACCAACCCTAGGATCAATCGCCGAGTACAAAGCGAAGGTTAGTTATCTAAAAAATTATGGTCGCTTATATATTGGCAAAATTATTATGTGTTGGAAAAATTTCGTTCAATAAATCAATCAAAAATGTATTTTAACCAACACAAAGATAGTTAAATCGATCATACTTATTGGACGTTTAGTGCGTTTTGAGTTTGTTTCAATTCCAAGAACAATATTATCGTGTGTATGTTAATTGCATTAATTAACAGTTTGATTATTTTTATTAACTTGTAATTAATGCTAGCATTTATTGTGAGATGATCAAGATAGCTCGTATTTGCATTAGAATCTAATATAATACCGTTTCGGGTTTTCTGTGAATTTCAGATGAGCCATTATAAGAAACTGTCGGGAGTATACCTAGATAAACAGCAAACACTCGAAAGACATAAAAGCTATTTACAGGCACTCAAGAAGGCTCGGTTACAAGAGTTTTTAACTGGATTTAAGATTATTACACAAAAGGTATATGTAATATAAACATTTTCATAGATTTCGCGCCTATTACGTTTACCTCTGTCAGTTAGCAATATTGGATCTTCGATAAACCGCCGTAGTAACCATCGCTCAAGTCAAAGCGAAAATTCGACTGGTTGATTCAAGAACATTGGTAAAAGGATTGATACAACGCAACCGGTTTATCTTAAAGATTTTTGTACGTGAGCTAGTATGAGTAGTTATCAGTAGAGACTGCTGTACATTCTACCGACTCAATCTTCGTCACACTAGCCGAAAATAGTGTTTCTTATGTTAATATACACTGTATAATGGTTCCTATCTCAGGTAAAGGAGATGTACCGAACGATCACACTAGGAGGTGACGCTGATCTCGAGCTTGTAGACTCTTTGGACCCTTTTTCAGAGGGCATCGCGTTCAGGTAATCATTAAACACTTCCGTTAAGCTGCTCCTATTAGGAGGATTTTAATATGAAAAAGAACCCATTCGACGCTCGTACCGGACTATCCGCAACTATTTTTTACGAAATTCTATGGAATTATGAAAGGCGATAAATAGTGAACAACGTATATAACGGCGAGATCTCATCATCCCCATATTATGTGTATGCCGAGCTTAAAATATGACTATTGTGAATGTTATTGTTGATATTTTTTAACTTACACGATGGGTATTATGGTAAAATTGACAAAACAGATACGATTGTTGTTACCAAATAAACGAAGAGTTCTGCGGATGGGATAGAGCATCTTAAAGATAGACGTATTCGTATATAGAGTTATAGTTTCTAATGATTTCGTTTCTCCAACGATTTGCTGTATTAGTGTACGGCCGCCGCGAAAAACGTGGAAAAACATTTCGAATCTTTCTGGTGGCGAGAAAACCTTATCGTCATTATCGCTCGTGTTCGCTCTTCACTACTACAAGCCGGCGCCGTTCTACGTAATGGATGAAATCGACGCGGCTCTTGATCACAAAAACGTTTCCATCATTGCCAACTATATCAACGTATGATACTTAATTTACGCTAGCTCGTGAGATCATTGCTTTCAAACAGGAGCTGTGACAATTTTGGATACGATTTCAATGGTGGTAATACAAAAAATATCCATGGCAATTCTAATCTAAAAAACATTTCGACAAACGTACAAACACTTGACTTGAAGGTAACCATATCTGAACCCAATAACGCTGATTTTTAGTCGCACAAACTATACTATATTTGATGAAATTCAAATTTTTGCTTTTGGTTTCTCCGGCTTTTTTAGGAACGCACACGAAACACGCAGTTTATCATTATCAGCCTTCGCGAAGAAATGTTTTCCTTGGCACGGAAGTTAACTGGCATCTATAAGCCTTATAATGACACGAACACGTTGACGCTCGACATAGAACACTGCCTTATCGGGATGGCGTCTGAACGAGATAAGGAGAATGACCCACCAGCTGTTACAGCAGTCGATACATAATTTGTTCTTTAATCGTTTCATCGCCGATGTTTGGTTTTGTTCCACTTCTTTCGCGAGACACGAGATACATCATAAAAAAAATATGATGCTAACATGTGACATTTATAGATGTTACTCAAACTTTTAAACTAGCCAGAATATATTTGGTAGAAGTTAAGAAAAACAATAATTAGTACTGTTGAGGGACACAACGACTAACAAATAAGAAGTCGGACGTTACCATGAGAAATAACAAAGGAAGTCATAAGGAAATGAATACTGTAACTTGTGAAGTATTATATTTTACCTTGTCGCTTTGTACCAAACGATACGCAAGTTCTTTTCACTTCAGATATAAAATAATGAAGATTAGCTTACGAAGATCAAAAACTACTACGAAATGTATTTAGTATAGATGGCCTAGTAATAAGTATCGATAAATAAATCTAAATGAATATATCTATCATGCTATTGTTTGAAATTCTATTCTTTCTATTTTAGCTGAATTCTACCATTTCACGATAGTTGCTCAAAATGTTGCTAATACAACTGACCTAAAAGTGAAGCTGTCACAAGTTCATGACCGCTTTGCAGAGCTTGCCAGTTGCGAACTCTTTAGTGAAAGCAGGTTGAAAAAGGATTGTATTGCACTGTACCTACTTGATGTTATTAGTAACATCTTTCTAAAAAAACATAACAAGCAAATGCATAGACCTGTTAACTATGCAACAGCAACCATATCGGACCTATTACGGTAACCTCTATAAAACGTAAAAACACTGACAATGAGAAACAAATCGTTACATTTAAATACAATTGTGATTTTTTTCAATAGATTTCACGTGAAGACTATTCTTATACAACATAGGTTTGAACTAGCGCTATAGACCACCGAACGATTTGCGAGCCTGAGGAACTTTCTGCACCAGTTTCCACAGCATGAAGTGAAACGTGTGTGGATCCATGATGTCGGTGAAGAGCCTGCCGTTGAGGTGATCCATTTCATGTTGAACTACTCGAGCGCCAAAGTGAGACACCGTCCATTCATGTGGGTTACCGTTATGATCCAATCCTGAAATATGTATGCAGGAAAGGGAGTGGACCACAAATGTAAGAGTTAGAGGATTAAGATCAATTCATTTGATATTTTAACTATGCTGACTGAACTTAAAAATTACGAATATTGTATTCAATGTTCGCGTTGTAATTGAATTGAATATGGAGTGAAAGTCAACACAATTTTATAATTATTGGCTTGACAACCTAGCTGCTTATTTTCAACAACTGAGAGTAACTAGCAATATGCCAATCGCTATTTTATGAGCATGTGACCGCTGCTAAACTAAATTAATTGGATTGGATTGTATAAATGGAGGGGAGAGAGATAATTAAGGTGATTAGAATGAACGAAACAAGTTAGCCTTTTACTGGTATATGTACTCTACAGTACTAACTGATTTCGTCCCACTATCTTAAGCTACACGTTTCACATTAGTTACAGAGCCTCACGAAGTATGTAAACGTTCAGTTACGTTTCTTATTATATAACTACATCTAACTAATTAGCTTACATTGAAAATTAGAGTGTACGCACACTATTGCTGCTGTGCTATTTATAAAACCTTAAAATGACTTAATGCCTAAATAACAACGTAACTGAAACAAACTAGCAAGAACGCGTTGAAAAGACACAGTGTATAAATGGGTAATATAGATATCGTGATTGGTACTAACCTTTAACTTTAACCTTGACAGCCCTTGGTACGTGAGCTGCGTACCCATGTATGCTAAGACATGCCTCCTTGAATATTAATTTCTTTGAATCCTCGATGGTCATTTTAGGATTGATAAAGACCTACTTAGTAAAAAAACAAAAAAAATATTGGAGGAGAAAGATGATGTTTAGCATGACCGTCGCCTAAACCCATTAAATATA